CCAAAAATAAAAAAGGCAAAGAAAAACATTTTTCCAGACAACATTCAAGAGAGATCTCTGGTGTATATTATAAACATTTACGCCTGTGGACCGCTGCTAACGGTGAGGCCAAATCTCTCTACTCATGCAAAGGAGGAAATGGGCTTCACGGTCACTGCTGCCGGAGCACGGCCAAGGCGGTCCCGAGACGTCTGCCACCCAGTACAGGTGACACTGAGTAAACGATACGTACTGACATTTGTGTCTTCCACAATTCATGATAAACAAGCACACTGGTTAAGTGTGACCAGCCAGACCTGCTTCTGTGAAAGGCTGCTACCGACGTCGCAGGGCCGTGTGCCTTCCCAGCACCAGAAAGGAAGGCCAGGGAGTCACATTCAGAGCTCGCAGCTCGCCTCTTGCAGCAATCCCACCTCTCCCCCGAGCAAGGCTAATCCAGCCCATTTCAGGCCACGGTAACTCCACAGGCAGCCTGTCTGATCCTCGCTGTCCGTGCTGCAGGTGGAAATAACCTCTCACTAAAGTTAAAGCTATCTGGGCAAAACAGGAACTCTGCTTCGCGGACATGGGTTCCTCTAAGACCAAATTCTTGTATTTTAACAACTCCCTGTAAGTGACAGTATAAAGCTAGCTGTTTGTGTCATCTTTCTTCACAGAACCCTTCTTGTCTAACGTGGGGATGCTGGAATCCCCCGACACAAACGTAAATCCTCCAGGACACACTGTGACATCTAACCGACCCACACAGCAGGAGCTCACTTCTGTCTCGTCTGGTACAGAGTCAGGCGTCTGTGGGACAGACTGTGGGCCTTAACACCAGCGGAAGGCTTTACCGTAGCTTTCTGGTACTTAACCCTGAGAGACCTGCATCAAAGAACAGTAATTTCATTGTCATTATGGAAATAAAGGAAGTGAGTCATCCCATGACACCAAATCGGAAATAAGCACACTGAGAAGTATCCAGATACTTTAAAACCAAGTCGCTTGTAAACATGAGAAATACTTCTACTTAGTATTTGATTTTCAGAGATAAAAACAGTTCAAGTATTCAATATAAGTAGTGACAAGGAAAACAACCAACGTGTCCTAGCTCACAGCTGGCGGTCTGCAGTCAGCACCGAGGGAGCGGCGAGGTCTGAGCCGCCTGCGGGACGCTCACCCGGCTGCCGGGCACAGTGGCGGGCACACTGCAGGGCTCACACGGAGGGACAGCGACTTGGAGCTGTGCTGATGGGTTCTGCCTGCGGTCCACACGTTTACCAGGTTAATGTGACTTACTACTTGGGGTGCTGAATTTTCTCACTCAAACCTTTTAAGTTAACGCAAATTCTGACAACTTGATCAATTCTGACATAATTTCCGTAGCAATGGGACAAAGGCCTGCAGACAGTAAATCTCTCCTCCCACTGCAGGCCAGATTCACTCAACAGTTGATTGCAGCAACCAATTAAGAGGGGGGAAAATCTTAAAAGTACAGAAAGCATCTGAAAAAGGAAGTCAGCTTGTGGCGAACTCCCGGGCACCGCGTGTAACAGGTGCTGCCCTCTGGCGTCCTGTGCGTGCTCCGCCTGCTCGGACTCCTTCCTGCCTCAGCATTTTAGTTTTGTTTTGTTTTTGTTTTTTAAATACTTATTTTTTTTATTGAAGGGCAGATTTACAGAGAGGAGAGCGATATTCCATCCACTGGCTCACTTCCCAAGTGCTCACAATGGCTGGTTCTTCCACATGGACAAGCAGAGCTGGATGAGAAGCGGACCAGCCAGGACATGAGCCAGCATATGGGATCCTGTACAGTATTTGTCCTCACGGAAGAAGCAAAGGGACAGTCTTTCCCCAATAGAAATGACCTCATTGCCCAGGAGTCACACTGGCTCCACACAAAGTCATCTCCAAATGCTCTAGCTGCCATTACTTAGGAGGTGCAGCTTCAACCAAGGAATCAAGGTTAACACTGGCCAAACGGACCCAATGAAATGACTCAGTAGCTAAAATCCTCACCTTGAGAGGGCCAGGATCCCATATTAGTGCCAGTTCATGTCCCGGCTGCAGCATTTCCCATCCAGCTCCCTGCTTGTGGCCTGGGAAAGCAGCGGAGGACGGCCCAAAGCCTTGGGACCCTGCACCTGCATGGGAGACCTGGAGGAGGCCCCTGCTTCAGATCGGATCCGCTCTGGCTGTTGCAGTCACTTGGAGAGCGAACCAGCAGATTTTGTCTCTCTTCTCTTTACAAATCTGCCTTTCCAATAAAAATAAATTTTAAAAACTTGCCTAACAAAAATGTAACTGAAAAGCAAAACTTCTTCTGACCAAAATCAAAATCGAATGTAAAACATATTCAATTCCATTAATTAGTCTGAGATGATTCCATCTTCTTTAATAAGCTTCAACTATTCTATTGTTCCGACTTACCTAATACTTTTTTTCCTTGAAAGTAAGGACATAGAACTCTGTTTAAACAAATTTTATTTCTAGACAGTTTATGTTCTCCAGTTTCCTTCCTGACTGCTAACACTTCAGCAAGGACAAAGGGCAGGGTTGGGCCTGACACTCAGGATGCCCACAGGGTTCTGTGATCGGACCTGGCTGCCAACTCCACCTTCCTGTCAATGCACTTCAGGTCGAGTGACCAGGAGACCTGAGTGAGTTTTCAGCTCCAGGATTCAGCCCAGCCCAGTCTGGGAGTGTCGTGGACATCTGGGGAATGGTCTCTCTCTAAATAACAAAATTTGGTCAAAAAACAAACAAAAGAATCAAAGATTAACAACTGACAGTGAATGTTTATTAGGAAAAAAAGCTAATTGCCAAGTTGCAAGCCATGCTACAGTGGCTTTAACTAAGTTACCTAAACACTGACCCAATGTTTAACATGGTAGCCACTGGCCATGGGACTATTTAATTGAAATAAAATTTAAAATTCAATTAACTGGCCACACTTGCTATACCTTAAGCTCTCACAGTCACAAGTGGCTGCTGCCAGGAATGCTGGACAGCCCAGATCCAGAACATTCCATGACTGCGGTGCTACTCAAGGGCACAGGACTCCAAATTTGGTCCAGTACATGGAAGTGCACACTGGAAACAATTCCATTCATTATAAACAGAAATGAAAGCCTTATAAAATTATATTTAACAGAAATCTGATATCTCACTGCAATTTCAGTAAGTGTTCATAGCATTAAATAAGTATTATTTAGCAGGCCTAGCGCAGTAGTTTAGCAGCTAAAGTCCTCGCCTTACATGTGTCAGGATCCCATATGGACACCGGTTCTAATCCCGGCGGCCCTGCTTCCCATCTGGCTCCCTGCTTGTGGCCTGGGAAAGCAGTGGAGGTCGTCCCAAAGCCTTGGGACCCTGCGCCCGCGTAGGAGACCGGGACTTCAGACTGGCTCAGTTCCCGCCACTGCGGCCACTTATGTAGTGAATCATTAGATGAAAGATCTTCCCCTCTGTATATCTGACTTTCCAATGAAAAATACACAAATAAATTTTAAAAAGACCATAAACTTAAAAAAAAAAGTACTGCTTAGGAACCTGTGCTATGGTGTGGCATGTTAAGCTGCCACTTGCCATAGTAATGCCACATCCAGATACTGTTTGAAACTTGACTGCTCAATTTTCAATCCAGTTCCCTGCTGACGTGCCTGGGAAAGCAGCAGAGGGTGGCCACGTGCTCGTGTCCCTGCACCCATGTGAAAAGACCCAGAAGAAGCTGCAGGCTCCCGGCTCCGGGCTGACCCACCCATGGGTGCTGTGGTCATTCGTGGAGTGAAACAGTGGATGGAAGATCTACCTCTCATATTCTGTAGATCTACCTTTCTTTCAAGTAAATAAATAATCTTTTTTTTTAAGCATTGCTTTAACTCAAAACACAGAAAACATAAAAGCAGTGATGGGACTTAACTGTTACAGAATGTGAACAATCCTCAAAGAAATACTTTAAAAAAATAGCCAAAAGGACATCAAGCATTTTAAAAAACATGTTTTTAAATTGGAAAAAGGGCATCTGTACTGAAGAACGTAGCCGTCTTCCACAGCTCGCACTGCAGCCCTAGTTCAACCAAGGCACGCACTTCAGCTTTCCCGCCCAAGGGCACAGCAGACATGCCTGGCGGCTTCTAGCACCTTCACAACTGGACACAGCCTAAGAAAAATGTACTCGATGAAAGGGTCCCTTCACATTACGACAATCTAGACTGCCAATTTTTTACCTTAATATTATTAATGATATCATCAAATACAGATGTGGCACAACCTACTTTGGGGATTAAGCTAAAACAGTCTGTCTTTCTAAAAATCTAACCAAAAGCAACGTGGTTCTATTTCATGAAACTAAAAATGGATTCTTCCAAGAAAGAGCAAAATGGATGGTAAAATCTCAGCACAGAAAAACCTTAAAATATTTCTGTATGTGGTCAGCGAAGTGATAAATTCATGGCATAAATACCATAAGAGAAAAAATTAGACATGTGGGAGATCCTGTAACTGAGTAAGACAGTTCAACAAACTAGATAATTTAATCAAAATATCAAATTTAGAATTATAAACTTAATTCAAGTTTTTACAGAAATGTAAGCTGAGGCTCATTGGGATCACACTTCCATCTTTTTCTACTAGAACTCTTCTACGATCTTTTTTAACTGACACGTAACTGTGACACTCACGGGGTAAAACCCTTTACACAAATCTAAGACTGAGCTAGCAATTTTCGGTGTATAGAATACAAACCCAAGAATCACCAGGCCCCATTGAAGATCTAACCAACATTATACTTTTTACCTTCTCAAAGTGTAAGAACTGAAATATCAGGTCTAATTGACTAATAAATAATAATCAAAAACAAGAGTTACAATGCATACAATAAACCAAACTGTGGAGCCCAGCTAAAATGAAGTTAACTTAGATATTCTTAGACATGCCTCTAAGAGGCTGGCCTCCGGCTGGGCACCCCACAGAGCACTTCAGGACGTCAGGAAGCCCGCCAGGGTCACCCAGGGCCTCACCATCTGCAGGATGGCCCCATACAGGCGCAGCAGCACTTTGCGGGGTTCGTCGCCGATGCTGTCGGTGGTGTCCGGCAGAGAGCACTGGAACAGCATGTTACTGAGGCCGCCCCTGCGGAAGCAAGAGGACCGTAAGAGGACTATGCCGCACTGCACTGCTCACTGTCCTCCCCTGGGTGGGACAGGCAAAGCAGCAGGCCCCACCAGAACCATTCTTTTTTCTTTTTTGCATTTATTTATTGTTATTGGAAAATCAGATACAAACAGAGAAGAGGAGAGAGAGAGAAATATTTTCAATCCATTGATTCACTCCAAGTGGCCACTACGGCCAGAGCCGAGTTGATCTGAACCCCAAGTGGCCACTATGGCCAGAGCCGAGTTGATCTGAAGTCAGGAGCCAGGAGCTTCTTCCGGATCTCCCACATGGGTGCATGGTCCCCAAGGCTTTGGGCCGTCCTCGACTGCTTTCCCAGGCCACAAGCAGGAAACTGAATGGGAAGCAGGGCCGCCGGGATTAGAACTGGAGCCCATTTGGGACCTTGGCTCATGCAAGGTGAAGACTTTAGCTGATAGGTTACCATGCCAGGCCCCACAAGAACCATTCTTTTTGTAACTTGCAGGTCAATCTCTCAGAGCTATTAAAAACATAAATAATTAACTCCATAGTTTTCAGATTAATTGTATCCACAAGTCATATTACAAGTGAGCTTCCAGGATGAACTCGGTGGCACAGCAAGTTGCACCTCTGCCTACAATGCCAGCACTCCCTGCCCACACAGCCAGCTGGAGTCCCAGGTCCAAGGCCTCGCCACCTCTTCCAGGGTCCCAGTTTCAGCCTTCCCCAGCCCAAGCTGCTGTGATCCTTTGGAGAGAATCCTTCAGAGATGGAAAAACCTCTCCTTCTCGGTAAACACTTTTTTTTTTTAAGGATTTATTTTTATTATTTTTTATTGGAAAGGCGGATATACAGAGAGGAGGAGAGTCAGAGATGAAGATCTTCCATCCGATGATTCACTCCCCAAGTGAGCCGCAACGGCCGATGCTATGCCGATCCGAAGCCAGGAGCCTCTTCCGGGTCTCCCACGCGGGTGCAGGGTCCCAAAGCTTTGGGCCGTCCTCGACTGCTTTCCTGGGCCACAGGCAGGGAGCTGAATGGGAAGCGGGGCCGCTGGGATTAGAACCGGCGCCCATATGGGATCCCGGGCGTGCAAGGCGAGGACCTTAACCACTTGCGCCACCGCGCCGGGCCCGGTAAACACTTTTGTAGACAACTCTGATCAGTGAGACCACTTGGGAGTAAACTAGTGGAAGGAAGATCTTTGTCTCTGTCTCTCCTCTCTATATATGTGATTTCCAATAAAAATAAATAAATCTTTTTAATAACAATAATATGCTGACCTACTGGCTTAAATGTGCCCATATGATCAAGTGCAAAGATGGCCCCATCTCTGGGGGGCACCCATGCAGCACTTTGCCTCTCCCCGCTGCGGCTGCCGAGCCCTTTAGTGCATCTCCATCCGCTGTTCCCTGCAGCTCCCACACAGCAGCTCCGCAGAGGCACCTGTCAGCCCCAGCTCCTTAGGAACGCGCCCACATGCCTGTGTCCTGAGGCACTAACAGAAGCTGGGCCCCCCCAGTCTCCTCAGAGGATTAGACTCCGCCCTGGGCACCTCCACCCAGGGATGGGCCAGCCTCCTGCTGGCCTTCTCAATTCTTTGGCCCCAAATCCTCCATTTTAAGTGCTCTATGTTGAAATGCCTAGTGCTGATCCCATTTCTTGCCAGGCTGGCACTTCAGAATGGCACTTCCACAACAGGAATGCGGTAAGGAGCCGGCAGCAACCTCCAGCCAGGAGCTGCACTGCCTGGCTGCTTTCCAGACTTGAGGCTGAGAGGCTGAGGATGTGGGGACAAGAATGTGACAAGCAGCTAACTTAGAACTCACTGAAACTACTCATCAGCACAGCCCCTCAGGCGTGTCCTCTCAGCCTGCGGCCCCCTGGATGCTGTGCTCTACAAGCAACCACAAGGCCCAGCTCCTCGAGGACAAGTTCACCGTCCTCCATGTTGCCTTGAGGAGCTAACACCCAAGGTCCCGTTGCCAAGGTCTTGTAAGAGTCACAGCGCCCGCACCACTCTGCCCACCCTCCAGCAAACCCGGCGCCCTCGCAGACAGCTCTCAGGAACAGTGCCATCCTGCAGGAAGGCAGCGTGAGACATGAGCCAGGGATCAGGTCCCAGCTGTGCCACCTGTGGACGTGTACACTCCTCCATCATGGAGCCAGCACCCACAAGCAAGGTCAACATCAACCCACAGTGTGCATGCTGAGGTCACCCCCATTTTATAAATGAGAAAATTGAGACATATACCAAAATCTCACAAGAGGGCCAGCAGGTATTCAAAACCTTCCTTTTCATTACAATGCTGCGCTGCTCAAAGCAAGGCAGCCCACCGGCCACACGAGGCGCAAGCATGTGCTGTGAGAGCAGCAAAATCCAGTCTCAAAGACCTGTGGTGGGGGCCCGGCACACTGGCTCAGTGGCTAATCCTTTCCTTGCACGTGCCCGGATCCCATACGTGGAGCTGCTGGGATTAGAACTGGAGCCCATTTGGGATCCTGGCGCATTCAAGGCAAGGACTTTAGCCACTAGGCCATGTCGCCAGGCCCAAAATAAGTAAATCTTAAAAAAAAAAAAAGACCCTCATCAGGGCTGCTGCTCTCTGGCATGAAGGTGCTCACTTCCAATCCCTGCTGCAAGAAGTGGTACAAACTCAGTCACTCCAGGCAACACAGGGTTATTATCTCACAGCCCTCCAGGCCAGAAGCCTGAGAATCGGTTTTCTGTGGTTAACATCAAGATGCTGAGAGCAAGGCAGCTGCCTAACAGATATACATGTGCGTGTATTTTACTCATATAGATTTGTGTATATATACACCACACTCCAGGAAACACACAGAAATCAGGTATGTGTCTGAGCTACTGATCTTACAAAGCAAGGGACACGAGGGAGAAAAGATGGGAGTCAGGGCTTAATGGGGACAGAATTTCAATTTGGGAGATGAAAGAGTTCTGGAGACGGCTGGTGGCGAAGGCAGCATAACAATGTGGATGTGCTTCACCCCCTGGACCGTGCACGGGCTCCAGCAGCAGAACAGCAAGCTGCATGCTACGTGTGTTACCAAGATATTAATGAACAGGAATTAAATACTGATAAATGTTTTAACATGTACTCAAAGCAGCCAGCCACAAGAGACCACACCCCATATGATTCCATTCATGTGAACTGTCCGGAATGGGAAAGCAATGGCAACAGCAAGCAGACGAGCAGTGCCAGGCCAGGGTACAAGGGAAGCAGTACTTAGTTCTGAGAGGAAATGTTCTAGAACTGTGCTGATGGCTGCACATACCTGTGGGCAGGCTAAAGGTCACCTGCATATACTGCTCACAGTGGAACTTAGTGGTACTGGGATGCAAACTATGTTTCACTCAAGTTTTTTTTAAGTTATATGTATATAATTTATTTATTTATTTAAAAGAAAGATTTACAGAAAGAAGAAGTGAGCACCAGTTTGTATCCTGGTTGCCCCACTTCCCTTTCAGCTTCCTGCTTTTGCCCTGGGAAAGCAGCAGAGGATGGCCCAAAACCTTGGGACCCTGCACCTGCATGGGAGGCCTGGAGGATCCGGGCTCCTGGCTTTGGATTGGTGCAGCTCTGGCCGTTGCGCTCACTTGGGGAGTGAACCAGTGGATGGGAGATCTCTCTCTCTCTCCTTTTCTCTGAAAATCTGGCTTTCCAATAAAAAGAAAATATAAGAAAAAAAAAAAAAAGCAGCAGCCCTAGCACTGCATGGTGGAGACTTTCCCAACTGGCCATGTTGAGAAGAACTGCAGGAAGGAGAACGGAACCCTGTTTCTCCCCGGCAGCTGCAGAGACGCGAGAGCAGAGACGGCGCCTCGGCTCATGCGGGCCTCCAGGCAGCGCCTCTCTGCGGCTGACCAGAATCCTAAGAGTGTCCACTCAGCCAGCACGGGGATCCGGCTACCAGGCAACAGGACGGCATTGCAACACCAGAGGGAAAAGCCCTCATTCTCCTTCCTGTCACACACTCGCAAAAGCAAACACATGACAGTGTTCCACATTGTGCAACCTGATTCAAAGTCCGCAGGCCTGACCAGCAACAAGTTCCCGGACTGGACATCCTTCATCTGCCGGGCTTCCTGGAGACTCTGTTGCTCAACAGGCTTTAGGGACTAAGCCAGCAATTATTTTTATGACAATCAAAATAAATAAAGCAAGGGCCCTGGCAATGAAAAACTACCAAGAAAACACAAGCTTCCAGTGAGTCAACTGGGATTGGGAACAAGAAAATTGGGTGCAAAGGCAGCAAAAAGACAACAGCGTAATTTACCATATTAAAAAAAAAATCCTTGCAAGGTGGATGCTTGGTGTAACAGCTTAACGGTCACGGCCTGGGATGGCCAATCCCCAGTGCTCCACACTTGTGCTCCGGCTTCCTGCTGCTGCGCTGGGGAGGGTGGCTCACGGTGCCTCAGCCCCCGCCCCCCACGTGGGCACCTCGGATGGAGTTCCCGCTCCTGACCCAGGCCTGCCCAGACCTGGACTGGGCCACTGAGAGACAGAGGCTAGCTTGTTCTTGCCTTCCAAATAAATTTAAAACAAATTCAGAGGTTTTTTGCTTGCTTGTTTGTTTTTATTTTTTAACTGGAGTGGGCATTGTGACACAGCACATTAACCTGTCGCTTGGGGCACCTGCAGCCCCTGAGTGCTGGTTCGAGTCCTGGCTGCTGAGCTTCTGGCCCAGCTTCCTGATAACCCATTTTGGAAGGCAGCAAAGGACAGCTCAGGTGTGTGGGTCCCTGACATGCACGTGGGAGACCCAGATGAGGTTGGACTCCTGGTCTAGCCTGGTCCAGCCCAGGCTCTGGAGGGCATGTGGATGCCCTCATTGGCACTGTGTCTCTCACAGCAATTGCTGCAAGTTGGTCCATTTCCAGGTAGTGCAAATCCTTAACCTCCCTCCTCACATCCACCCTCTTCTCCTTCCGTCTCCATTTCCTGGGACCCATCAGCCAGACACATAGGACATCT